GGTCCCATCAACAGCTCCTCCAACATGACTTTTTGTCGGGGAGGATAGAATGTTCATTTAGCATAGCGAATACATGCATTTCTCCAGTAAATTAATCTCATTGTTCCATTGACCATCCAGAGGAATTTCTATAACTATACCCCAATCTGAGTCACCTAGATCAGGGGATCAGGCACCAAACGTACAATATGTGGTCTGCCAGTATACACCTCTCCCAGCACAACTTGTTGTAAGGACTGTAATTACAAGGGGTGTTCAAGTCAAACTGGGACTTTTAATTTTACAGGTGTAAAAAAAGGGATGCCAGCATGGCGGTACTACAGGCAGTAGTAAGTGGCAAGTGTGTGTCTATTACTGATAGGCGGCACACATGTCGCAGGCCAGTCCAGAAACTGTTAATCCGGTGATTGACATCCGCTGCCGCTAATGGGGGTGCAGGTAGGGCAAGTGTCCCCTACCCGGAAATGCAAAATCGTGTATATATACAGTTGCAAGAAAAAGTATGTGAACCCCTTGGGATTATGTGGAGTTTTGCATGAATTAGGCATAAAATGTTCTCTGAACGTCATCTAAGTCACAACAATAGAAGAACACAGTCTGCTGAACATAATACTACACAAACATTAGATGTTGCCATGGTTTAATTGCACATAACATGTAAACATTCACAGTGCAGGGAGGAAAAAGTATGTGAACCTTTGGACTTAATAACTGGTTGACCCTCCTTTGGCAGCAATAACCTCAACCAAACGTTTCCTGTAGTTGCAGATCAGACCTGCACAACGATCTGGAGTAATTTTGGACCACTCCTCTTCACAAAACTGTTTTAATGTAGCAATATTCTTGGGATGTCTGGTGTGAATCGCTCTCTTAAGGTCATGCCACATCATTTCAATGGGGTTGAGGTCAGGACTCTGGCTGGGCCACTCCAGAAGGCGTATTCTGTGCTGTTGCAGCCATTGTTTTGTTGAATTACTTGTATGCTTTGGGTCATCATTGTCCTGTTGCATCACCCATCCTCTGCGGAGCTTCAGTTGGCAGACAGATGGTCGTACGTTTTCCTGCAAAATGTCTTGATAAACTCTGCAATTCATTTTCCCATCAATGACAACAATCCATCCAGGCCCTGAGGCAGCAAAGCAGCCCCAAACCATGATGCTCCCTCCACCATGTTTCACAGTGGGGATGAGGTTTTGATGTTGGTGTGCTGGGCCTTTTTTTCTCCACACATAGTGTTGTGTGTTCTTCCCAAACAACTCAATCTTGGTTTCATCTGTCCACAGTATATTCTGCCAGTAGTGCTGTGGAACATCCAGGTGCTCTTTTGCAAACTTCAAACGTGCTGCAATATTCTTTTTGGACAGCAATGGCTTCCTCCGTGGTGTCCTCCCATGTACTCCATTCTTGTTTAATGTTTTCCTTATTGTAGATGTGTCAACAAAAATGTTAGCATGTGCCAGAGATTTCTGTAGGTCTTTAGCTGACACTCTGGGATTCTTCTTTACCTCATGCAGCATTCTGCGCTGTGCTCTTGCAGTCATTTTTACAGGACGACCACGCCTAGGGAGAGTAGCAACAGTGCGAAACTTTCTCCATTTGTAGACAGTCTGTCTTACCGTGGACACATGAACATCAAGGCTTTTGGAGATACTTTTGTAACCCTTTCCAGCTTCATGCAAGTCAACAATTCTTGATCGTAGGTCTTCTGAGAGCTCTTTTCTGCGAGGCATGGTTCACATCAGACAGTGCTTCTTGAAACCAGTAAACCCAAAACAGGTGTGTGTTTTTTTAAGGGCAGGACAGCTGTCAGCAACACATCCAATATCATGACACTGATTGGAGTCAAGGTTGGCTCACTCCTGGCTCCAATTAGCTCTGGGAGAAGTCATTAAGCTAGGGTCTCAACATACTTTTTCCTCCCTGCACTGTGAATGTTTACATGTTATGTGCAATTAAACCATGGCAACATCTAATGTTTGTGTGTAGTATTATGTTCAGCAGACTGTGTTCTTCTATTGTTGTGACTTAGATGACGTTCAGAGCACATTTTATGCCCCAATTCATGCAAAACTCCACGTAATCCCAAGGGGTTCACATACTTTTTCTTGCAACTGTACGTGGTTTTGCACACCCGCGCCGCCCTGTAGCAGTATATCTGCTGTCTTAAGTGGTTAATATATAAAAAAACTTCCTTCTTTTAACGCTGAGCTCTCACAGATTTCCTGTCTTGTACCGCATGCATGATACAGATCAGTCTCAGCTGTCCACTGACCATCGACTTACACATTCCACGCGGACAGACACAATGTCTCCATTCTACCTCTGGATGGTCGTGTTGTTGACTCTTCAGAACTGTAAGGATGTCCTCATTTTGTTTCTCTAGTCATTTATCGATCACTTTGACCATCACAGGAGATTCCATTTACTGACTTTTATAGAGTAATGAACAAAAGTAGCAGAATATTAATGGTAGATGAAGAGTTCTACTTCCTGAGCAGACAGATTGGCTAGATGACTGGGGGGGTTTTTTGCATCTGAAATTCATACCATGTATAGGGATCCCTGCATTCAAAACTCACTGACACCAGGATACGTACGGGGTGTGTTGTGTCTGCTTTGTATTGTCTCTTACATCTACTGATCCACAGTTTGATCATTTCCCGTCCATGTCTCCCTCCAGTGGTCACCTCTAGGTCTCTGCATGATGAGGATTATCACCATATTGTTCTTTTTTTATACTTTTATGTAGGCTTTTTTTTTCTTAGGTGTAGAAATATTCCCATTCTAAGTCACTTCTTGCCTCCATACTAGCCCCCCCCCCCACCCCACCTTCCCCTAATACAATAGATTCCATGCAGCCAGCAGCAATAGAGAAATCCCCCAGCAGCAATAGATTCCCCAATGTTGTGTCATATTGAGGAATACTAATAGAAAATTTTGTCAGGAAAAGCTGTGGATCAGCTGGGTTAATTTTCAAAACATCTAAAAAACGATATCTGGAATGGCTGGAATATAGGTGAAGTGGAGTTGCAAGGCAACGTTTGGGTGTCTTTTATAGCAGTGGTTCTCAATGCCTGGCCATGGCCTTCTCCTCCCTTGGTCTCCCAGCCATCTGCAGGTCCCTGCCATAGTGCTTTCTATTTCCCATAGTAACACACAAACTTCCCACAATGAGCCACAGTGACCCCAGGCCCCTTGAAAGACCTCAGCTCCCACAGTGCTGCTTAACCGCATATAGACCCCCCAGCCCCCTGCAGTGCCCTCTAGCTTGCTGCAGAACCTTCATAGTACCCCAAACCTCTAACAGTGTCCCACAGTGCCCCCAGCCTTCTAGTCTTCCACAGTGCCCACTATGCAAAGTCCCCAGCCCTCTATAGCCCTCCCTCCCCGTTCTCTCGAAACCTCATCCCCTACAGAACCACCAAGCTGCAGAGTTCCCTAACCTCCCCCAGAACCTTCATCCTCCCCACAGTGACTCCCAGCCCCATCCAGAGCCTTCCATATTTCATATTTTTAATATATTGTGTAAGTATAGACTTTTTTTTCTCCCTGTTGGGTCATGTTGGGTTTTGTAGGAATTTACCAGGCCCTGGTCTCAGTAAGGTTGACAACCCCTGCTTTAGAGCTTCCCAGGGAGAAGGACAATGGCTAGGCCAACGTCAAAACTGCAGCTCTTGAGGGATGTTCCCGGTCTGCATTGGTCAGGACAGACCAAGGAAGAAAAAACCGGCGAAAGGGAGACAGGGCCATGGTCGGCCAAGGCTCATTGGTGCACATGGGGAGGGAAGGCTGGCCCCGCGTAGTCCGATCCAATAGAAGAGCTGCATATAATGAAATGTAATATGATGTAATGTCTGGTGACCGCTGACACCAAGTATTGTTCTTCTTTATCAGATGTGATGAGTGAGGACCCCTGTGAGAGAAATGTCATTGGCGCTGTGGGAGGAGCTGTCACTCTACAAGTCAGCTACACTGGGGTCAGAAAAATTATTTGGACTTTTTGAAAAAATGGTGCTGTTATCGCCACAACAAAACCAGGAGAACCTGTTGATATTGACCATAGAGAGTATAAAGGAAGACTGAGCAGCACATCTGATGGATCCTTAATCATAACTGAGCCGAGACTGGAAGATCGGGGGACCTACCGGGGACTAATCAGAATTGGGGAAGAGATACAGATCTGCAGATACCATCTCACAGTGTTCAGTAAGTACAATCTTTAGCAATGCCGATTTGACACCAGACACATGATCATCTCCTGTACCCGCACTCTCCCCCAGTCATCTCCTGTACCGTGTCAGTCTCTGGTCATCTCCTGTACTGTGTCCGCAGTCTCCTGGTCATCTCCTGTACTGTGTCCGCAGTCTCTGGTCATCTCCTGTACCGTGTCCGCAGTCTCCGGTCATCTCCTGTACCGTGTCCGCAGTCTCTGGTCATCTCCTGTACTGTGTCCGCAGTCTCTGGTCATCTCCTGTACCGTGTCCGCAGTCTCTGGTCATCTCCTGTACTGTGTCCGCAGTCTCTGGTCATCTCCTGTACCGTGTCCGCAGTCTCTGGTCATCTCCTGTACCGTGTCCGCAGTCTCTGGTCATCTCCTGGTACCAATGTATGTCCAGTCTCTGGTATCTCTGTACTGTGTCCGCAGTCTCTGGTCATCTCCTGTACTGTGTCCGCAGTCTCTGGTCATCTCCTGTACCGTGTCCGCAGTCTCTGGTCATCTCCTGTACCGTGTCCCGCAGTCTCTGGTCATCTCCTGTACTATGTCTGCAGTCTCTGGTCATCTCCTGTACTGTGTCCGCAGTCTCTGGTCATCTCCTGTACTGTGTCCGCAGTCTCTGGTCATCTCCTGTACTGTGTCCGCAGTCTCTGGTCATCTCCTGTACTATGTCCGCAGTCTCTGGTCATCTCCTGTACTGTGTCCGCAGTCTCTGGTCATCTCCTGTACTGTGTCCGCAGTCTCTGGTCATCTCCTGTACTATATCTGCAGTCTCTGGTCATCTCCTGTACTGTGTCCGCAGTCTCTGGTCATCTCCTGTACTGTGTCCGCAGTCTCTGGTCATCTCCTGTACTATGTCCGCAGTCTCTGGTCATCTCCTGTACTGTGTCCGCAGTCTCTGGTCATCTCCTGTACTGTGTCCGCAGTCTCTGGTCATCTCCTGTACTATGTCCGCAGTCTCTGGTCATCTCCTGTACTATGTCCGCAGTCTCTGGTCATCTCCTGTACTATGTCCGCAGTCTCTGGTCATCTCCTGTACTATATCTGCAGTGTCCGCAGTCTCTGGTTCTCCTGTTCCTCCTCTGTCCTAGGTGTGTCTCTGGAGCATCTCCTGTACGGTGTGGAGGAGTATTTGAGGAGTTCTATGGTTCCTGACAGAGTCTCTGACTGGATACAGATATAGTCATCACGCAGTCTCTGGTCAGGGGATTAGAGCCATGCAAAACTGGAATGTCCTGTACTTAGTGTCCGCAGTCTCTGGTCATCTGATCCTGTGTCCGCAGTCTCTGGGTCATTTGTTTATTGTAGAAAAATGAAACAATGGTGGCATCAATGTAGGAGCTATTTTCGTTTTTTCGGTCGACAGGTCGTCTCCTGTGTTCTCCGCATCTCTGGATGTCATCTCTATGCACCCCTGTGATGGGATGGGCGGCCAAGGCTGGCCATCCCACGTAGTCCATCTTGTCAACCTGGTTACCTCCGCAGTCTCTGGTCAATTCCCTGTTATACTAGTCCGCAGTCTCTGGTATCTCCTGTACCTATCTGTCTGTCAGTCTCTGGTCATCTCCTGTCCTGTGTCTGCAGCTCTCTGGTCATCTCCTGTACCCATGTCAACTATTGGCGGCTCTCCCTTCTCTGGTAGTCCTGTACATGGCAGTAAGAGGCTGATAAAAATAAAAAGTTTAGGGATTTCTAGTAGGAGTTTTTTCTTTTGGTCATCTCCTCTATGAATGCTATCTAGGTGCAGTCCATCTGGGGTCTTCCATGGAGCATGTTTGAAAAACAACGGCAATGTCTCTGGTCATCATTGTAATCAATAGTGAATGCCTGAAAGTGAGTAAGGGCTGTTTTTGGTGCAAAAAAAAAAAATATGCCAAATTTACTAATATAGTATATACAATGTGACACAAGTCATATTGTGAACTATTAAAAAGTCTCTTCATCCTTGTCAAACTGCAGTCCGCAGCGCCTGGTAATCTCCTGTACTATTCCGCAGTCAGGTCATCTCCTGAAGGAGTCCTGAATTGTACTTTGTCCGCAGTCTCTGGTCATTGGCTCACTGGGAAGTCTGCTGGATATAAGTTGATGGTCCATCAGTCTCTGTCATCTCCTGACTGAGAATCAAGGTCTGGTCATCTCCTGTAAATGGAGACCCTGCCAGTGCCTAATTGGAGGGGGTAATTATCTGCAGTCCATTGGACAATTTTTCTTGTTTTCCCTCCTCTAAAACCTATTTTTTTGGAGCGATTTACTGCAGGTAATTTGAGGGAGTTCTAATATCCAGAGAGAAAGATAAAAAGGGATGTTTTGATCAACACTGTTTTTTTTTTTAATTGACAATTTATTTAGGCCAATTACTGCTATAAAACATATCCAATAGGAAAAAAAATTAAAAATCTGATTTCTTCATAAATTTAGGCCAATATGTATTCTGCTACATAATCCCAATAAGCGTATATTGATTGGTTTGCGCAAAAGTTAGCGTCTACAAATGGCGGTATATATACTGTCATTTTTTTTTTTTACTACTAGTAATGAACTCAACAGGTGGTGTACTGCTAGCAGATTGGGTGCAAGGACCTGTGGCACCCATGGCTGTACCATCACTCCTCTCAGTGGAGCCTGTTGAGAAGACTTGACATTTTATAGAAGGGGTAGAGATCCCAGATGAGGAGCAAAGAGAAGTCTGCACCTTTTTAGGATGTGGGTCTTTCAGGTGGTGTTGTCAACGGGCTGCATGGCAGCTCCTCATATGTCTTGTCAATCATGTGGTGCCCAAGTGGCTGGTGTTTTGGTCACGCTTGATCCGCTTCAGACAGAGACTGCAAACAGCAACACTGCGGTCTGCTGCACATGCGTTGAAAAAAGCCCACACCAGAGAACTTTTGGGAGTCTGCCGGTAGTCAGCAGCACCCTGCCCCTGTGGAGCTCTGTCATGTGATGCCATCGGTTGGCTGCCCCTGGAGGACATCCTTCTTCATTGGAGTTGTGCCTCCTCCTCACTTTCCTCCTCTGCTCTCTCAGGCACCCAAGTACAGTCAGTGACCTCATCATCCTCTTCCTCCTCTTCTCTGGAGCCAACTTGGCATTTGTCCTATGGCTGGGGGAACATGACTGTCGATTTCTTTTCCCTCACTGGCACCCCCTCTCTCTAGGCTCACGTCACTCCTTTCCTCAACCTGGGAACCAACATATAGACCATCCCTACTCACCACCATGGGCAAGGCCAAAGAGCTGTCAAAAGGACGCCAATATTGTAGACATGCACAAGGCTAGAATGGGCTACAGGACCATCAGCAAGAAGCTTAGTGAGAAGGAGAGAACTGTTAGAGTGGTTATTCGCAAATGGAGGAAATACAAAAATAACCATCAGTCACCCTCGGTCTGTAGCTCAATGCAAGATTTTGCCTCGTGGGGTAAGGATGATCATAAGAAAAGTGAGAGATCAGTCCAAAACTACACAGGAGGAGCTTGTGAAGCATCTCAAGGCAGTTGGGACCACAGTCATCAAACAAACCATTGGTAACCAGGGGCGGACTGACAACTCATGGGGCCCCGGCAATAGGGGATCATGGGGCTCCTGTGTCCTTGCCCAAACTCAAAAAAGCCTATGAAAAAGGTACCAGGGGCATCTCATGGGGCCCCCTACTGACCCGGGCCCTCGGGCAGTGCCCGAGTTTCCAAATGGTCAGTCCGCCCCTGTTGGTAACACAATACACCCCCATGGATTGAAATCCTGCAGTGCCTGCAAGGTCCCCCTCCTCAAGAAGGCACATGTACAGGCCCATCTGAAGTTTGCCAATGAACATCTAAATGGTTCAGAAAAGGATTGGGAGAAAGTGCTGTGGTCAGATGAGACCAAAATTGAGCTCTTTGGTATTAACTCAACTCGCCGTGTTTGGAGGAAGAAAAATGCTGACTATGACCCTAGTAACACCATCCCTACAGTCAAGCACGGAGGTGGAAACATTATGTTTTGGGGCTGCTTCTCTGCTAAAGATAAAGACCGACTTTGCCGCATTGAGGGGCCAATGAACAGGGCCATTTATTGTCAATAAATCCAAGATTTATTGTAAAATCTTGGATGAGAACCTTTTCCCCTCAGCCAGAACACTGAAGATGGGTCGTGGATGGGTCTTCCAGCATGACAATGACCCAAAACATACAGCCAAGGCAGCAAAGAAGTGTCTCAAGAAGAAGCACATTAAGGTCATGGAGCCTCCAGACCTTAATCCTATAGAAATATATGGAGGGAGCTGAAACTTTGAGTTGTCAAGCGACGGTCAAGAAACCTTAAGGATTTAGAGATCTGTAAAGAAGAGTGGACCAAAATCCCTCCTGAGATGTGTGCAAACCTGGCAACCAACTACAAGAAACGTCTTACTTCTGTACGTGCCATCAAGGGTTCCTCCACCAAGTATGAAGTCATGTTTTGCTTGGGGATCAAATACTTATTTTACTCACTGAACTGCAACTCAATTTATAACATTTGTATCATGTGTGTTTTTTTCTGGATTTTTGGTTGATATTCTGTCTCTATCATTTAAAATACAAAAGCCACAGGGCCCTAGTGGTCCTTTAATTGGTCCTTTAATTAGCATTTCAATAATTTTAGCTTCCAAAACAAAATTGTAATATTCGTGGATTTGACACAATCTAATAATGACATTTGTAGCACCAGGGTTAGGAGTTTTAATACTTTTCCGGAGAGACGTTTACAATGTTTATTGCTCCCATCCTCCAGGTAACTTAACAGTTGAGGATATCGCCATCAGCTCCAATGTGATGGATAATAAGAATGTGAGGTCATCTTGGGATGTTCAGTAAATGGAAGCAATGTGACCGTCGCCTGGAGGAGTGTACACAGCAGTGACATTACCCCGACACTCAGCATCACGGTGGGGAGCGGGAGCGGCAATACTTCTCTGGAGGGATGTCTGACGCTCCATGTTTTTTTTTTCTTCTTTAGGAAACTTAACGGCTGAGGATGTCGTCATCACATCCAATGTCACCGATAATAAGACGTGTGAGGTCATCTTGACGTGTTCAGTAAATAGCAGCAATGTGACCGTCGCCTGGACGTGTTTAAACTGCACTGACATTAATGATACGCAGGGCGTTGTGGTTGTACCGCCAAGTCATGTCAACTTCCCCTATGTATGTACAGCAGAAAATCCCGTCAGTAACGTCTCGAAAGATGTCCTCCCCTGGAAGTACTGCGGAGAAGGTAGGTACAACACGGCTTATGCTTGCACCTAGAGTAACTTCACACTTTATTGTGAACCTGTGCTTTGCCTGCTATTTCTGGGAATGGACAGGGCTGGGTACTTGCACCCCCCCCCCCCCCCCCAAAAAAAAAAAAAAAAATTAAAACATCAACTGTAATTCTACTTCACCCCTCCTAGCACACATCCTCTTTCCACTCAAATCATCCACCCTAGCAAAAATCCTCTCCCCCCCCAATCCCACCTCCTAGCACAACCCCCTCCAAATGACCCTTCCCATCTTTCCTCCCCACCCACATCCCCCCTCCTAGCACAACTCATAACAATCCCCCCTCCAGCACAAATCCCCCCTCCTGGCACAACCCCCCCCCCCCATTCCCCTTCTAACACAATCCCCCCAATTCCCCCTCCCACATCCCCCCCTCCTAGCCCAAAATCCTCCCCCCAATCCCCCAACTCCCCTCCTAGCACAACACTCCCTCTCCACGCCTCTCTCCCAGTACAAATTCCCGCCCCATCCCCCTCCTACCACAACTCATAACAATCCCCCCTCCAGCACAAATTCCCCCTCCTGGCACAACCCCCCCCCATTTCCCCTTCTAAAACAAATCCCCCCAATCCCCCTCTCCTAGCACACATCCCCCCAATCCCATCTCCCAGCACAAATCCCCTCCAAATCCCCCCTCCTAGCACAACCTCCCCCCAATCCCCCAACTAGTACTCCCTCCTAGCACAACACTCCCTCTCCACGCCTCTCTCCCAGTACAAATTCCCGCCCCATCCCCCCTCCTACCACAACTCATAACAATCCCCCCTCCAGCACAAATCCCCCCTCCTGGCACAACCCCCCCAATTTCCCCTCTTAACACAAATCCCCTCAATCCCCCTCTCCTAGCACACATTCCCCCCCAATCCCATCTCCCCCCAACTTTACCTATATATGCACAGCAGAAAATCCAGTCAGTAAAGCCTCAAAAGCTGTCCTCCCCCCTGGTCATACTGCAGGACCGGTAAGTACATTTACAAGTTTCTTCATTTTGGAAAGTTCAGAACTTAATTCAAATTTCAGTAAATTTTCAGGAGTACATTTTCACCTAATAAACAAAATATTATTTACACATGTAACACCCCCCAGGCTTAACTAGGGAGTTTTGTTATTTCATTTTTTTTTTTTTAGATAGAGGCTGAGTAGCAGCCTGGGATGAGTCAGCCTGGGAGTGAGGCAGAAGTTCACCTCAGGACAGGTTAGGGAGGTTCTACAGGTCAGGGCTTCTGGAGCCCTCTCACCTTTCCAGAAACTAGAGAACTTTCTGGAAGAGGGGTGGTGGAGGGGAGGAAGCTCAGATATGCATGTTTGAGGGACCCTGGCCAATCCCCTGGCAGGAGGCTGGGTGTGGTGTCCAGGGCAACCCTTAAATATGACAGAGCCTGGGGAGTAGTGGGCAGTGCAGGGTGGAAGATGGAGTGGGGAAGGCTTAAGTGTGTAGCCTGAGAGGGGGCCCCAGGGAGGGGAGCCTACCTGCAGGCAGGA